TATGGAATCCTGTACCAGCCGTAACAAAAGAGCAGTTTATGAGAATGTGCAGCTTATGTCATCATGTGCCTGCTCTCAAAAAGTTAATAGTGACCTCATACAGTCACTAAAGAGCTGCACTGATGCTATCATAACAACCTCAAGTTGCATGACCTTTTCCTCCTGTGCAGAGATTAAAAGCAACAAGCCTGGAAGTGTATCAGGAAACTACCAGTTACAAATTAATAATAAAAGTGTAACAGTGTACTGTCATATGGGAGCTTTGTGCGGCATTGATGGAGGATGGGCTAGACTAGGAAAGCTTGATATGACTCAATCCTCTTCTACCTGCCCCTCTTCACTCCAGCTGATTACACAGAGTAATACAAGAATTTGCACTAAAAATAAAGTCGGCTGTGAGTCTATACCTCTCCCTTCACAGGGTCTGAAGTATTCTCAAGTATGTGGACGAGTCAGAGGTTATCATAGGTATACACTCGATGGTTTTTTAAACAGAGGAATTGATGGAGTTTATGTGGATGGCGTTAGCATCACTCGTGGGTCTCCTCGTAAGCACGTCTGGTCTCTTGGTGGAAGCACATATAATGCTGGTTGTCCATGCAGTAGTTCTAGACGAGCTGCATCATTTGTTGGCAGTGATTATTATTGTGAATCTGGTTTTCCAAGTGGTCCACAGAATACATTTGGAGTTGCTGATCCACTTTGGGATGGAAAAAATTGCCCATCCAATGAAGCAAGATGTTGTTCTCCCCCTCTTCTCCCATGGTTCCTCAAGAGGATTGGATCCACAACTACTGATAATATTGAGATGAGGCTTTGCACTGACGAGGCACCAAATAATGAAAACATTGGAATTGATCAATACGAGATATACGTCAAGTGATTCAGAACTGACACAATGAACTTTACAATAACTTAATAGGCCTTTTCATTTTTATTGATTTTCTTTTTTACTATAGTAGTGATTCATAGGCTAGTTCTTAAATTTTAAAAAATAATTTCAGAATAGTTCAACAACCATTCACATAGTAGGCAACTTGCTAGGGACATCATGAATGAGCATGTGCCTTAGAATAGAATCACTTAGCTCTATTTTCCTAACAATGCATGAATTAGTCATATTTGGATATCTTTGGATGAATCCACACATTAATAACTTTCATTGTTTTTTGTTATAATCATGGTATGCATGTAAATAGAAAAATTCCAGTTGTTCTATAATTTTTAGTGTAAGCAATCCAATCAATGACAGAAATAACATGCTTCTAACAGAAAATTTCAGGCAGACAAAAAACTTCATTGTTTAATTATCTGTACAATCATACATGAATAAAGCATCAATGGGTGCAATGGTGTGGTGGCAAGATAGAAAAGTACTTAAGCCCTTGCTTGTGAGCAGATAACTATTGCTGTTCCAACTCTTCTTTGATAATTATAATTAATAATTATGATTAGTCTCCATCTTACAACCACACCAATGATACTGTGGTCGCAACAGAGATAATATTGTGGGCTACTATTGTAACTAAGAATGTCCATTAATTAAAGTTATCTGGCTCACCTTTACATATTTAATGTTATAGCTATTTGACTCTTCATGCTCCTGAAGTACACCAATTGGCTGACCAGCCATGTAAATGCTTAATACATCTAAATAGTGTCATATGTGGTATGTGCTGACTCATGGCTTATTAGAGATGGCTTTCCTCCTGACTGACAATATAGTTATGCGTCTTTAATAGTGAATTTAATTGATTTAAAGTAAAGAATTTCTTTTCATCAAGGTCATCAGTGCCAGCAAATGATGTACTGCAAGTACATATTTTCAAAACGAAGTGCTCTTTAAAAATACTGAAAGTAATAATAATATGATAAAATAACAATTACTTTTTGATCTTGTTTGTTGTCATAATTCTTCATAGTTCAATTACACCACTAAGTTTTTTTAACTATATCCTTATAGAAACACAAAAACAAGATGCAATTAATAAAAAAAATATTACTAATTGTAACTATGATAGTAGCATTAAAGATTGAATATTATTGCCATAAATATAGCAGAAAATTTTTCTGGCCACTTCTTTTGAGCCATGTAGAAAAATTAATGTTATTGCTTGATAATACAACCCAAAGATGTACATGTAAATGGTGTGTGCTGCAATTACTAAAAAGTGGAACGAAAGCAAACCAGTTCACCAGTTAGCACATGTGTGTGTTTAATATGTCACAAAACAGTGACACAGCACACAAGTATTAAAGTGCTAAATCAAGCTACAGGTATATGTATAGGCCATTCTGAAGCATGAAAAAAAAATATTGGAATAAAACACCCACCAAAGTTTCCTCTTATACAGTACATACATGTAGTTACGTAACCACTAAGAAAGTTCTAAAATATAATAACCAAAAAGGTATACATGTACATACAAAGAAAATTAATACCAAAGAACATCCAGTAACAATTAATTATCATACTTTTATTAATAAATCATATACACGTAAAATGTTCTTACTATTATAGCAGCCTAAAAGCACAATTATACACTTCCAAATGTCATTAATCCATAAGCACATGTGTATGCATACAATGATTATGAATATATATACTATTTAAATTATTGTGCATGTAATCTAATCATAATTATGAAACCTCTTATGAACATACCTATAAATCATACTTACTTTTCATTAACTTTGTAATTTTTACAAAACTTCTTCAGGTCCCCAGTTCTCAATTCATTGATTAAAAGTAATGTCCTAATAAGAATGATTAATAGTATGAGGCATATCACAGTTACTGTACATGTGAGTTACAGGGTTTCCTACAGGATTTTGGCATAGTGCTCATGCAGCTTCTTGTACATGTAAGTGGATTGTCAAGTTACTCAAAAATTGGGCTAAAAACCCTGTATCTAGTACAGGGTATTTAGACAAAAGAATTCTCTATTTTTATAACTTTTTGATATGCATATATTGTGTCCTTCTGTTGTCTATCAATTTTGAGCCTATTTTAATCAAATTTAGATTTTTTATGAATTGTTGCTCAAAGATCAGCTGTACAGAAATTGTGGTAAAATTTCATCAAAAATGAAAAGGGGTGAATTCCCCATTTCAATAATTACTTCTCATACATACATGCACTTATGTTGTGTAGAAAGTTAGAACTGATTACAACAATTTTTTATAAATTTTTAAATGTGCTCAAAAAGTCCATGTACTATATAGTACAGGGATTAATAATATGACAGTTGTTTATTTGAGTAGGACCCTTACTCGAGGAAATACAGTATGTACATTATACATGCAATATGTAATTCTTTCTCCTTACTTATGGTTTTAGACCATATTTTAGTGCAACTGCCATTAATATCGGAACTAGTTCAAACTTTTAAGGAGATGTAAATGCACCATGTGCAGTACATGCATTATAATGTTGGTATAATATGTAACCAGGTACTGTATAGTGGGTTTTTTCTGAAGATAATGATATTCATAAATGGCCTGTATCCGGAGGCCATTCACGGTGTTTATTATAGCATATCCCCTCATATAAAACATAATCTACATGCAAGTGAAAACATATATCTAATCCAACAACAGTGATTATAAATTATAATGATACTAGCAGAAACATAAACAATGGATTTATACAATTACATGCAGTTACCGTATATATGGAAAAAAATCAAATTCTGTGTTTTTCTATGAAACCATAGCCATAATAAGGATGTTTATCAGAGGCAGTGCAATTACAGGTAAGAGGACGTACTATATACATCGCTTCCTAAAGGTTGACCAGCAAGGAAATCACACAATCACAATTATAATTATGGTTATTTTGAAAACTATAAAAAGCAATGATATCTTGAAGCATCCACCGTCTTATCACACAGTAACACATTGTTTCCAATATTCACTATGAAATTTATTTCTGTGCTTCTCTCTCTGTTTATCCTAGCAATAGGAGCAAGGAGCTATGCAACAGAAGACTGGGAATCAGAAGAATCCTGGGAAATGAATCAGTTTGGGTATAAGACA